GGATGGAAGGAAAATCACAGAACCACCAGTTTTTTTTAGATGAAAAAATTACTTTTTATTTAGCACCAGTTGTTGTGGAAAAATATTACGTTAAGACAAAATGATACAAACTGCTGTAGTATGGGTGCCATTGATTCACCCATTAATGAGATATTTGAGGATAAGTTGCACTGCATATTTTTGACCACACAATAGTATGTGATTGTGGCCATATGTCAAGATTGATCGTAGCTCTTTTTCACATGGATGCATTGTTGCTTTGTAGATCTGCAATGTCTCTTTTGACTATTATATTGAACCCCTCTTTTTTCTGCTCAATTTTTACATTAAGATCTTATTGAAAGTCTGATTCTTGTTTGAAATTCTATGAGAGTTGTTCACAAGTGACTTGATTCTTTTCAATATATCCCAACACTTTGTTGTGTAGAAAACTGAGGTTGCCATTCCTTTCATTTTTCTTTTAGCGTGCTTCTGAGGTGATGAGAACCATGCTAAGACTGAGTGAGACGAGAACAGACCCCACGTTCAGTGAAAGTGTCCACCTGTCTTTTACAGAAGTGAGTATTGTTTAGTCATCTTCTGTTTGCTCAAGTCTTAATCTTTTACTTACGTATTACCATATAGACATAAATGTGAAAGTGCATTATTATGTAAATCAGAAACATGGAACGAACAAAGCATAATGAACAAACTATAGTCTTTCGTCAATGCTGTTTGCCCACAATGTGACAAGGCCAAGCCAAAGATGGAACCCCCTATGGAGGGGGGAAAGAGGAAGGCAAAGATCCACCAAGGAATGAGATCTAGAGGTGGATTTCAGACAGGAATCCCCTTCGAAGGAGGAAGAGAGGAGGGCGGAGATCCACTGGGGAACAAGATTTTGAGGTAGATATCAGATAGATGGGACTTAGAGTAACTTGACCATTTGCAGCCACAAGCGAACATTCCCTTCCCAGCTAGAACTGCTTCTGTACTAAGACTAAGAGATTCCCAACTTAATTTTCGTGGAGTAAAAAGCCTCAGGAAGGGCCCTGACCTGGCTGGGAATTTAAAGACTTCAATTATAGAGTGCAGTGGGTGTTTTCTGCACAACTTCAATGTACCACTTGGCGGCCAGCTGCCGTGGGTGCAGTCACCCGACCTAGGTGCGGCCGAATCCATGCCCGTATGCGACCAGGCCTTAAACAAGCTTCAAACACTAGAAAACATGACAAACAATGAAGGAAATCAATGACAAACGCATAAGGTGCAATTTGAAATATGGTAGGCCTACATTCAACTTTAATGAGATTCAACAGACTCTTGATCAGAGCATGCAAATGAAATGGAATTCAATGACGTAGAATGCAAACGGGGACTTTCAAAATTAAAGAATGGTACATACAACAACGGTATTCAATCTACTTTTGATCGGAGAATGCAAACAAAATGGAAATCAATGACGGTGTAGATCTATGCAAAAAAGTGCAAGGATGGTAGATCTAGACCTATGTCTACTCTTGATAAGAGCAGAATGGACAAGTCCCTTATCTGTGGTCTCGATCTCTATGTAACCAGAGAGAACATCTGCCACAAGGTACGATCTCCACCGTCATGTTGACCAAGTAAATCCCTACTCTCGTGCACAGTGTCTGGCTTTCCTTCTGCTTCAGCCAATGCTGGCATTTTGTTTCCAGTTCTGACCATGTTGCAGTCCTCCACCTCTTCTTCATTCACCTCACGCATAGTATATTGTTCTCTTTCTACTCCAACCACTGGTCTTTTGTTCCCATCTCCATCACTCTCAAAGATGTCTTCTCTTTCTGTTTCTTCTGCTTCAACCACTTGTCTTTTGTTTCCTATGCCTTCATTGTCAGCAGCAATACTGTTTCTATTTCTCTCTGTCTGTGGTCCGACTTTTGATCGTTCATCAAGTTCAAGCGTTTCATTGTGCATGTGTCATCTCTATGGAGTTTCATATCCTTCCACAGCCCCCACTTCAGCAAACATGGATTCCTCAGTCGAAAATTCTTCTTCCATGAAATCTTCCTACTGCAGGTCATCTTCATCAAACAGCATCATTTCACTTTCATTGAAATCTGCACTTGTATCATAGTCTGAATCGCTCAACCTCCTCTTGGATTTTTTCCCTTTCACTTTGGACTTCTTTTCTTTTGCTTTTAACTTTTGCTTCTTCTTATTCTTCGTCCCATTCTCCTTAGCTAGTCTCCTCTTTTCTTGCATCTTCTTTCTATTTTCTTTCTCCACTTTGCTTGTTTAGCTCCTCTCGCTGTTTTTCTCTTTCTTTTCTCGTCTTCCATTTCTCCTCTTCCATTTTGGCTCTGTCCACTTTTCTCATTTCCATCTCTGCTTTCCTTGTGATCTTTCTCTCCATGTTGATTAGAGTCAATAAATTCTTGCCCACTGATGAACGATGGAAGCTTGTCCAGCGATGTCTTCCTTTTGACGCCATTACTCCTGCGTTGCAAAGTAGGAAGAACGAAGGGATCTTTCAGTCTCAGATGACTTGGCGTCTACCCATCCCTTCACTGACCGCCTGTTACACATTGTCTAAAGCTTCTTTTGTCCCCTTCGGTTTCCCGCTCATTTTGAGACCTGGGAAAACACAATTTTTTATAGATGAGTGTTCATTCCACGCCATACTTGAGGTTTTTTTTTTTTTAATTGGCGTTTAACATCTCTTAATTAAAACCAGTAGGTCATTTAGGCAAGTTAACGTACTGTTACACTGGGATATGAAATGTAGCAGAACTTATTATCCCATACAGTCGACCGCATATGAGCCCACTTGAAAAATTACCCTGCCCTTGCTGCGGCCATCGACATTTCTCCAAAAGTTTACGTTTGAGCTATATTTATACAATGTTAGGCTTAAAAACATGCATTTTAAAACACAGGAACCGCACTTGGTTGATAAAATAATGATATTTAGGTTGTGATAAGAGTTAATGAAAAACTCTCCTGAAATTTCAGAAAGTAGAAAGGGATGATTTCTGGGTTGAAAAGTTCAAACTCGCATCACATGTGTCGGAACAGCGGAAATAAAAGTGAAAGCATTGGCAGACCCAAGAGAAGCTACTGTGGTTTATTCAATGCCTTACAGCAACTGGAATGTGAATTATGAGAACTGGCCGCACCCCAGCAGTGGCTTCGAGGGGGTCAAGCTACTCTAGCTGGCCTGAGGTAGAAAGGATAGCCCACTCAATTCGCGGGTGAAAGAGACAGAAGAGAGTGGGTGATATAGACATAACAGAATTTTGATTTAGGGAGAAGTACATGATTGAAAAAGGATTAATGTGTATGCGTATTGCTCACTAAAGAAAAAGGCAACAAGAAAAGAATACAAATCAAAGTGAAGTATTTTACTTATGTTACAGATGATGGAAAATGAAGTTAATTAAATTTTGGTAAACTTTAAAGTATTTTTATCCTTTTTTGTTTGTTAATTTCTATAGATCTACTACTAATGAATGGAAAATATTTGTGTCATTCTTTTGCAGATCAGCAGTGCTATGCCCAAAGATAAGGCAATGAACCAGCAATCTCTGGATCAGTATCTAAAGTGTCTTTCAGAAAATTGTGTAAGTACTCAACACAGCAATTGTGGAGTGTTTCAAAATTGTGCACGTTCTCTTTTTAAAAAAACACATAGAATATAGGCCTACTTACAGTATGTTTAGGCATGGATGTGAATCTTGTTTTTGGTCATTTTTTTTACAGGTAATAAAAGCCTGTTGTGATGGTCTTTGCTAGTCACAGAAGTCATAGTAGTCAATGTGATTGATCTTTATAGGTTCTCCTTATTTGTTTCCACAGCATAACTTTGTCACCCGTGTTGGAGACAGTGGAGGTGGCATGTTCCAGATCAGTATCCTTTTTTTGTACTCCATAACTCAATGGATTTCTCTTCAAGTTTTTATGTTAATAAGTATTTGGTCACATTTGCTTATTTATATATGTTCCGCTCAATTTACCGATCGGCGCAATAGTATAATGCATGTTCTAACAATCATATTTTTAATTGTGCTGCAATCTGAAAAGTTAATATTTTATATTTTTTAAATAATTTTTTTTTTAACTCACTTGAGACTGGGCCCTTTCACCAGTCACAAGCATTGAAGACTGGCGTTTTGGGGGATATTTCAATAAATCACCACAACTCTCAGAATTACCCTATTGTAATCATTTTTTGACACAGTAAAGTAACATTCAAGCTTAATCTAATACAAAAAACTAAAGTTGTCTAAGTCTAATACTTTAATTTGTATGATTTTTTAAAAATTGGCATGAATTTGATTTTCGAAAAATTTCCAGAGACGTGACAAGTAGAATGAAATTCACTGCAACAACAAAAATAAAAGTTCAAAGTGTTCTGGTTTGATTTGTATACATGTGCAAGTGTTTGGTGGAAATATAAAAGCTGGTCTGTGAATTGATTCAGACCCATACACTGAATTACATGAGACAGATGTACGGCACGACGTTGTGATTTCGTTGCGCGAAAAACAACACCGGTACTAGTGCTAGATCTAGCCCTAGAACTACGACTCGGGCCGTGTTCGGGTACATATCCAGGATCCTAACTATTAGACACATCATATTCTGAGGCACTAGAACTAGTAAAACGCACAGAAGTATAGAAAACGGCGAAATTATGTGATTCTTGTTCATGCGACTTCTTCGACCGTCACTACGACGCGACTGTCGGATTACTATGAGCTGTATAGAAAAAAAAACAAAGCGCGAGTTCCGGTCTGTTCAACCCCAGTTGGGGTCACTGTACTTCACCTTCAATAACTTAAAAACTACCGGCCCCAGAGATACGAAACGAAGTCTAAGTAGCTCAGGCTTGGCCAAACAAGGGTACGAGGCGGGTCTCGCGATCCGTGCGTGATTTGTAGAGCGAAAAAAAAATTCCAAAGTTGGTCACGCAGGGCTTGTGAGACCCGTCGCGAGCGTCATGGCGGGGGTCACGCAACTGTTGTGTGACCCATCTGAAGTGAGTTAATTCACTTACATCTTTATTCTTTTACTCCCATCAAGGAACATTCATATATTTTCAAAAGTGTAAAAATAGGAAAATTAAAATTAACGTATGAAACGGAAGAGCCCACAAGATTGATACAATGCCAGGTATCAAACTCAAAAGTTCCCAAAGTACATTTAATTTATTTTATGTTTTTGAAATAATTTTTTTATTCACTTACATCTTTATTCTTTTACTCACATCAAGGAACATTCACGTATGTTTTCAAAAGTGTAAAAATATGAAAATGAAAATTAAGTAAATTAAGATATATGAAACTGAAGAGCTCACAAGAATGATACAATTATACAATCATTAAAACGCGCGGCGCAATCTTAAGATTGCCGCACAATTATACGATCGTTAAAATGCGCTGATTGCGATTGTGATGACCTGTAAATTGCGCGGAACATTTACATACAAGCTACATGTACAAAGAATTCTCTAGTAGTTTGTTTAATATTTGCCATGGCCACTTGTGTTTTAGCTCGCCTGCAGCGAGTTTAGTTTTGGGCTTTGTAACTAGTGATTCACTATACCACGGAAAGAAGGAGAGCCTCAACATTTTTTTAAAACTGAATTGAAAAATGGGTAAAAATGTGCATCTATTGGGATTCAAGATTGTATATATATATAGAGAGGCCTACCGGTAACGTGAAGTATGGATCAGACCATATGCACGAACATGTTACAGATGCAGTAAAACAGAAAATACAGGTCCAATCCACATCTGAACAATGTGCTTAGACTTCACTGCTAGGGTAACTTTTTGGACAAAAGGCAAGTTTTGTTTTCTTTAACTTGAAAATCAGATTACTACAAAGCTATCAGGGCTCTCAGTGTATCTCTCATTGAGAGTATCGTCCTTGAGAGGTGAGTGCAACACAAGGAGTTCACACAGCAGTTTGCATATATATATATATATATATATAATTTGTATATTTCTCTTCATGAACCTCTTGTAAATTTTGTAGATTCTTTCTGATTTCAGCTTGTCTGAACATGAAGTATGAAGAGGTCCATTGTAAAAATCCATTCTTGTACAGTTAAACTGCCCCCCTTCATATTGCTTGGTTCTGCCAGTGCACGTATAGGAAGGGCAATACTGCTGTAAGCTGACAAAATGCCTTTTTTTTCATTTTCTGCACCAAATTTTTATATTTGCTAAATCGAAAGCCTAATCAGTTACCTTACTTGTGTGAAAAAATCTATGTGAAACTGTGACTGTTTTTTTTATGAATTAAAATTCAACTGTCATAGGAATGACTTTTTCAAATGGTTATACTGTTACACTGACCAAAAGCCTCTTTGTCTCAAAACAGAGTTATGAAAATATGTTTCACAACGCCACCAGCGAAACAGTCATCAGAGATGCAGTGAAACGTGGATTCAACAAACTCATATTAAACAAAAATCGGATTCAAGGGAATGAAAATTCCCAGTTGTTATTGCGGTTTTGTTGGTTTTTTTAATCAACAAAATACCTTGTGTATAATTAACACACAGATGAGTATACTCAGATTCAATGTAGTTGCTTGTGGGGGCGATCAGCCCCCAAAGAGGAGGCTTCGCAAATTTTTTTCCAGTAATTTTTTTCCAGTAACATAACATATCTTCTCTATCCTATTACATGGAACACTCAATAGCCCTGCGTCGTGGATAGTTATACACTTATTGCATATCACACAAGATACATAACGATTGACCCATCAGAGACACAGCCATTGCATTCAAGCCAATCAGGGGCTATCTTCCTCACCGAACACATGCGTTGTTCATGCATGCAAGACATGTTTTGGGTTGAGAGAGGTTGGGGGCAGCACCCGTGTTGTGTAGCCTACAGCGCTCTGCACCTGACCTACTTACCAGGTGCTCAGCAATAGTGATAAGCTCTGTTTCTTTCTCACATGACAGCTAGCCATCGCCACATTGAGTTTGGGGCAAAGGAAAATAAACACAATATTGTCTTTCATCTAGTCGTGGCAGAATCGTTTCCCTCGACGTTGGGTAGTTGGTGCTATTTATAGAAGACAGCATTAAAACCCTGTTATGCCACCAGCCCTGCCATACTACTGGCAACTTAATGCTTGTCTAAAGGTTGGCCATATACCAGGGTTTAGCTGCATGTAACAAGTGAGCTGTCTTCTTGATTCTAGAACTTAATAAATAACATTACATTTATGGAAGTACATTGAATGTTTGAGCAAAGCCGAAGGCCTGCTGCTGCTGTGGTGTCATGTATTGTTCATTCATAATACAGTAGAACACGGCTATAGCGGGACATTTTGCTCCAAAAGAAAAATCCCGTTGTAAGCGAGTTCCCGCTATAGGAATGCAAAGGGGAAATTACCCAAAAACTTCTAAAAATCCACATGAATACCTCCCTTCCATATCAATAAAATTTGGGCTTTTGATTAAGTCTTCCTTTCCTTGTCATCTTCGTAGATTATCTGGGCTTTTAATTCCGAGTGAGAATCATTCCCTTTTGTCATTGTTGGAAGCCATCCTTTAGTTTTAGTAGAGGTTTTACAGCGCTCGCAACTGCTTAAGTTCATATGAGTGCCAAACCCATCTTTCCCTCGGTTTCGTTGCTTGTGCTGTCTATCGTATCGGAAGAGCAACTGTAGAACTGATGAAGTGGATGCCTGCGCATCAACAATGGCAATTCAATGAATCAGGAATCACACACTACACGCTCTCCTCCTCCTCTTTTATTTTTTGGCCTGGCCTAGGGCTATGGCCTATACCCTCTCATACTGAGCCTCTAAGCTACAGCACATCACTTTTGGAGTGGCTCACGTAATGCGTCTCTCTGCACCAGTTCTCTCTGCCGCCTGCCCCACCTCACTCATCACTGGACTGGCCATTCACAACGTGGCCATTCACAACGCCGCACCGCTGACTGCCTGTTTGGAGCCCGCCTACAGCCCCCCAAACCCCTTCCCCCTAACTAGAGCTTGCTCGATCTCTCCCGCTGTAGCCAAGGTCGTGCCTTTCCTTGCCCCGCTAAACCCGAGCATAGGTAATTGAGTTTATATAGAGAAAAAAAGGGGGATTCCCGCTAGTCGTGTTCTACTGTACTCATATTATTAATTGATATTATATTCTTTGTTTCTTTTTTCCTAATCTCTGCTTCTTTTTCCTAAATGATAGTGTCACCAGGGCTACCTGTAGAGATCTTTTGAGAACTGTTCACCAGAAAATTCTGCATAATAAAAATGAATTTTATGAATACTCAGAAGGGTTTTGTTTTTGTTTTCTTTAATTTGCAGGTTTGGTTCCAAAGCCCTACGCATGTTTAAGGTCATCTTGGCGAAAAGACATGTGGAACAGAAGCAGGTAAAGTTTCCAGAACTCATGAAATCTAAATGACTCAGCACGTGTGTTCTGTGATATGGATGAAAATAAGAGGGATGCAGTATTTGAAAGAGCCTATCTTAAAGATTGCTTCAAACATTTTTGGGGCTTTTTGTTGTCTCATTAGTATCGTTAATTAACATGTGATTTCAATAGTTTTTTATGAAATACTATTGAAGTCGGATTTGTATTGAGCTGAATCTCAGCTGTTTCTGTTAAAGTGAACCAACAGTAGGTTATACACATATTTACAATTTACAGAGGATTGTTACAGTACAGTCCGACTCTATTTGTGCTGTACAGGTACTCATTCGAGTTGATCTTTTTTTCTGATCCCAGCACCTCTTTTTCTTGACAGGCCTCAACAGTTAAGTTGAACTTCGGATGAGTTTATCTTTTTTTCACTGACCCGACAGCATCAACTCCTGTAGTCAGCTGTATTTTCAGTTTGACCATTAACTTATTTTGTTTTCCAAATTTGTATTTGTAATTTTACACAGTGTGCTTTTTCCTAGAAAGGGTATTTATTTTTTATCTTCTCCATGCTCTCTTAAAGGCAGTGCATAGCTTTGATAATGAGCATAAATTATTTCCAGTCAATTAATATAATTTTTTTTTCCTGGAAATATTGATCTCTTCCAGGTTGAGGAGCATGCTATGTTGCCTCCAAAAGAAGCCAAGGAGTTACTGTACAAAATGTTTGCTGAGAATTATGTTTCTTTGACAGTGAGTGTATTAAAGTTTGTTTTTTCTCACCTAGCTATTCATGTCTGTTCTCATTTCATTGATTTTTCTTGTTTACTATACAATTTTTAAATGCTCAAAGACATCCTCTATACTATAATGAAAATCTCTTAGGATAAGCTACGCTCTGAGTACTGTTACAGTCAGGTGCTCAACTACATTTGAACTGTAAACTTGTCATTTCAGAGAGTTGTAGGTTATAGAATGGCAGACAGAAACATGATACTCTATAGCACATGCAGACTAAATAAAACAATGCTGGTTGTTCTTGCAGAAAAAACAATTTCCTACTGCTGATTTGATTACTTTAAAATTTGTTACTCATGGCATGCATTAATCTCCCTGTGTGTAGGAGCTGTCAAAGACTCCAGATCATGCTCCAGCCAGAACATTTTATCTGTTCAATGTCAACCTTATCCAAGTGTCTCGCATGATTCTTGAGAAATGTTACAAGGTGGGTGCTACTTTATCACTCTTTCAATAAGGGATTTTTTTCCCGCTGTTGTTTGGGGGAGGGGTGGATGATGTGTTTGTTGACCTGCTATACTAACTGACACTAAAGAAAGCTCACCATAAACCTCATGTGTCAGTGCGCATTGTTTTGACGGGTCGGAGGAAGATTGTAACTTGAACTTCTGTGGGAGTTTGCTGGCAGTGGCTGGGGGGCACGAGTAGTATGTCAGCTTCTGTTTTTCCCTCAGCCTTTCTTGCTTTTTCCTTAAATTAAATGGCTGTTACTGTTACAGTGTCGATATGCTCCTCACTATCAAAACTGAACGGAGAGTTTGTACTTTTCTCTCAGTATTTTCTTTCTTTAAATTTCACTATGGAATAGACTTTTCTGTTTATGCCACCTTGTTGACCCATTATGATTATTTCATTTGAAAACTTTGTTCCATCAAGCCATGTAGCTTACCCAGTAGCAAGCTAGAAAGGATTGATCTGCCCAGCAAATAAACTCTGGGATAGATGGAGAAATAAAGTTTCTTTTAAATTTCTCATACTCAAGTGCCCTCCTTATGTTGTTAAAGAGTACAGACATAGAATGCTTATAAATAGATGTATACGAATGACTGATCTCTACTCCATTTTCCCTGGGATTTTCCATTGTTTTGTTTTTTCTTTTGTCTTTATTTGTGATTTATACTCTTCTTGATATGTCTCTTTCAGGCCGTGGCAAACGTGATGATCAGGAGAGACAAGTGCATCTCAGAAAACAAGTAAGATTAATGTGTTTCTCTTGTTTCAAATAGGATTCATGACCCATTGTAATACAATTGTATACTATTTCGTGTTGAAAAAGATTCCATAATTTGTTGTGGTTGATTTGGAGATATGCAAAAGAGCCCTAAATAAATTTGTCATTTTTTTATATGTTACTAATGTTACTGTTTATCCCAAATGTCAAAGAGGCTAAAGAAAAGTTCCATCACAGTTGATAGCTTTTAGTACAGTCGGTGCCGACTTAAAGCACGCCGGCTTAAAGCACGTTTCGGACTCGAGCACGCTAAACGGCTCTTACAAAATTTTTGCTATATAAATTACACGCCTTTAAGCATGGTAACTTCGGCTTCAAGCACGCTTCATTTACAAGACAGTCAATATTTCCATGATGACCCATCGAAGTTCGAACAGTCTACACCACAGCAGTGGAGTGTGTCAAGAGAAACACAAAGAACCCAAGTGATGGACTCGCACACTCACACAGGCGGAGAGGAAGGCTGATGCACACAGCCGCGCGCGTGGACATAGGATCTAGCCTAGGCCTAGGGCAAAGCTACACACGACCAAAAAAAAATACAAAGAGTCGGGGAGGCGAGAAAGGGAGGCTGGCTGCGATTTCACCTTTGACCCTCGCTATCCATTAATCCTGCTTGTGTATCACGCGCGAAGTGGAATGAAGACGGTGGTATGAGTGGCACAGCGGGCAGTGGTACGCACAGGCAGTGTGTAGGCCTAGTGTGCTGTATCGTGACTGGCCGTCTAAATTAAGTTTTCATTTCCCATTCGACCACAAAACAAAAACAAACAAGCGAACAAAAACTGCCATAGCGGGTGTCTAAATAACAGTGCACACTTTTGCGGGACTGCTATAGGCCTACTTATAAACAAAGGGAAATGGCACGGGAAATGTTCTACATGAAAATCTCTGGATTGTGTCTACTTCGCACTCAAGCACGCTTCGGCTTTAAGCGCGCTTAAGCTTTCTCCCGACGACCGTGCTTAAAGCCAGCATGGACTGTATTTACTGTTCACTTATGCCCTTCATATGTAATGTAAAAAAAAAAATTTAATTGGTACTGATTGGTCTATTCATGAACCTAAATTTAGAATCAAGAATCAAAGTTAAATCTGACATTCACAGCCAGAAAATCTTCTGAGAATACTGTTAACTCACTCACAACCAGGCATTTTCGGGGCTGCTATTCACTGTGGACCAGCCATTTTAAGGGTAATTTTTAAAAATCACTGTTCCTTTGCTAATTAACATAGACTTGAAATGTGGAACATTGTTTTTGAACATAACAAACATTGCCCTGATGAAATTACAGCTCTGTTTTAATGTCACCTTTTTTTTCACAAGTTTTCAAAAACTGCGTTTCCTTTGTCTTTCTTACACACCCCCTTCCCCACTACTGCAGCCCTAGATTTATGTTATGGAGGCCCTACTAAACCTTACTCTTCTTGGCAAATTTCCCCCAGTTTCTGAGTCACTTTCGTTGTCAAATGTTCGAAAACGGTCAAAGAAGCGATCTACCATTCAGTTCTAATGATGTTTGTCGTAAATATCAACAACTCAACTTACGCCCGTCCAATTTCGGTTTCGTTTTTTTTTTTCTAAAGAAGGATAATTGAATGGGCTACAAAAAAGAGGAACCAGTACCGCAAACGGTGCAGTTTTACCGTGAGAAAAAAATTCCAAAGTGCGAAACGAGAGGGTTGCGATTGTGGTAGTATCACAGCGTCGGAGCTACTTTACCTGTAACAGTTGAGGTTGTGGTAGTGAGTGAGTTAAAGAATATTCAAAGCTGTTTCATTTAATTTTCCATCTTCTTACAAGAAGTAAGAGTAAGTGATTCAATGCAGCATTAGGCTTCTTTTATGTTCTAGATTACGTGCATATGGTGCTCATGTTATGTCAGGAAAAAGGAGTAAGATCACACATTGCAGCCAAAGTAACACTACCTGTATGTTCTGTCAAAACAGTGGATCAGCCACCTATTTTGTCAAGTGGTTCTCCAATTAGACATGCTGGGTTAACTTTGTTAGCTGTACTGTTAGAAGAGCCTACGTTCACCCCCTAAAACTAAAAATGAATGACATGACGGTCACGGTCTACAGAAATACCAACATTAAAAAATGTATGTTTGCTTCTTCTTTCTAAACTTTCGAGCTTTCAGAAAATATATGGTTATAAGACTGTTGTTATTTCCTCAATGTTTTTAGGGGTTTTAGTTTTATGACCCAGGGTAAAAACTTACAAAATTCGCTTACACCACACCTCAGTATCTTCCACTAACTTATAGTACTTCCAGTTACAGCATTGAGTTGTTTCTGATAAGAACAGATATTAGACCACAGCTCATGTCACAGCATTGTTTAAAATTTTTGTTCAAGTGGTGACTTCTTTTCTAATCACAATCTATCACTGTCACTGTCAAACTATTCCAAAACTACAAGGACTGTGGACCCCATTGTACTGTACACAAATATATTCTAGAGATGCAAATCCTCTTGAGATCATTTTCTCTCTTTCTCTCTTTTTTTCCATCAGACGTCTTTTAGACAAGCAGGAGCGAGTGGAGGCCATAATTGCTTCTCTGGATGCTGAAGGGGCAGTGGAGCAGAAGGAAGAAGTGGAGCAGATGGTCACCCCCAGTGAACGAGCCCAGCTCAAGAAAGTCGGAGATGCATCAAAAACGTGGGCAAATTTTTTATATTCTTTTCAGTGTGGAGTTTTAGCATCACTGATTTGAATGTTATAACTGACAGAACTAAGAGAGGGTCAAATTGCTGTAACCGAACATGGAAATGTAGACTTGAGTCTTATTTTGACATGTTCATATATTCAAATTCATTGTTCAGTTGAAAAAAGAGAAAGATTACACTTTTTCCTGCTGTCGCAAAGTCACCAGGGAACTTGACTCTGATTTCTCCTAAAGTAATAGCTGTTTCTGCCTGTATATAACCATGCGCATATTCGCTATGTGCATGCTTGACTGTACTTGGAGTACAGATATTTACACCTTTTTTTCTGCTGAACTTACAGTCATAGTCAAAATATGAGTGAAGTTGAGATTGGTGTCAAAATAAAAGGAAAAGGTTTAGACATAAGAAAATACAATGGTCCTTTCTTGTATTCACTGCAACCAATATACATTGCTTTAGTTAACCAAGGTACTTTATACTTGTTCCATCCTCAAAGTATTAACTGATACAGCTGTTGAGTGCAGTAAGAAAAAGTGCCTACTGTAACATAAAAGTTTTCAAGGATTTGCAGAAGGACTGTTGTCAATACTTTGACATTTAATCAACACAACTGTAACTGAGTTCCGAACTTGACGTTTACCTCCCTTTTACCCAAGGAAAAGCCTTGGTCATGATTCCATTACATATATTTGCCCAGAGATGCTAAAATTACCCCAGGTCTGCAGTGTGCTCTTTGCAAGATATTTTAAATAAAAATGTGTTGTGTTCTGTTTGTTTTCAATGGTCTATGATAGAACAATGTATGGATTCGAACCCCTCAATGTTGTACTTTTTATGATCCTTGTAATGCTTTTCATTTCTTCTACAGGCTGGAGCAGTCTGAAATACACCTGGACCATACAATTTTCCTATTGGAGACGTTCCTGAACTACACTTTGAAACCACCTCCACAAAAAGTGCCTGCACACTGATACATTTTCGTTGCTCCATTTAGTTTTAGCTTTACTTTGTGTATACAAATTCTGTCACATTTTCATATCTTTATGAAGATATTAAAAATGTTAACAGTTAACAAACAAACATGTTTTGCTTATTGATTTCTTCCTTTGGTAGATTTTGGTGCAAAAGAAGTCAGGATTATAATTTTAAAAATATAATCAGGTTCGGATTTCAAGAAGTTCCGAACAGAGTTCCTGCTTCCTTATTATGACAATGGTGGTGGGTTTACGTAAAGTTCCAGAACTTATCCGACTTTGTTTGTCTGCCTTTGCCCCAGATTTCAAAAACCACTTTTATTTTCTCATTTTACATGTATTTTTTTGGTCAGCCTTTGTCAGATCTCCCCTGATCATACTAGAGTGCCCTCAGAATCAACCAAATGAATTGAGGAAAAAGTAGTCCTAATGTATGTCACATCAGCCATGCAGAATGCATGGTTATGAAAGCTGACAGGAAAAACAGTGACAATATTAAAGTATGTTCTTCAAATCTTCTTGCGAATTTAGAAAAGTAAATAAATAAATCTATCTTGTATGTGTACTCAATCAGCTGAGTGTGGTTGGACCTTCATTACCTGACTTTTACTTTTAGATTTTTTGCTTTTTTGCTGCTGCTGTTAGTCTTTGCTGCTATTAGGCTATAGCTTGTTCACTTGAGATTGGTCTTACCTTCCCACTTACATTGTCTCGACTCTTTTGCAGTATGTTCCCAGACTATAAAGTTGACCTGAAGATCATATCTTTTTTCTCGGGGATTTGAGTAGAGATCATTATAGGTTTTTTCCCATTCCTATTCTTTAATTTGCTACGGATGAGATCCTTTGATTTTCTCCCATCTTCCATAGTCCATTTCATAGCACATCATAGCAAGCACATAGAGAGCCACATTGGAATCAGGTATTCCATAAATAAATGAAAATATTATTTGACCTATGCAGGGTCGCAAAAAGAGCAAGAATTTTTATATGTGAAGGCTACATCTTCTTTTCCCCAAGTGTGAAAGCTTGGGACCAGTTTCATATGATGATCTGAATAAGGGTTTTGAAAAACTGCAAATTATCTTGAAACATGCCTCTAGTATAATATAGCTGGACAAACAACTTGAACTCGTTAGGACCACATCATTTTGTTCAAATTCGCCATAACTCAAGACTTCACATTTTGTACTAAAATATACCGGTAATGTTAATGATAATGTTATTGGCATTCAAATCCTTACTTTTCTACTCCCAATAATAGCGCCAATTTGTGTGCCTTACACAATGTAGGCCTATATTTTTTGTAAGAAAAGCCATCACAGTATTCTCAGTCATGCTTCATTCACTGTTTTCGTAATCATGATGCCACATTGACACAAATATAAGCAAGTCAACTAGATCTGTTCAGAGTTAGAGTTGACGTTATTCTCATTTTATAGCAAAAGCAATCAGAAATCTTGTAGAAATAAGACACATACGTATGCACTTTAACAAAGAAAAACATGTAGGTACATTTAGATACGACTAAATTCTGTCAAGCAGAGCATAACATTATTTACATATGCTATAAAAGGTGATTATCTTTCAACACATTCACAATCCACACAGTTTTCATTGAAGAAAAGGGCATTTATTACTGATTATCTAGTTTTGACATTATACACATGTATTCTGTCAAAAATGAAATGAATGTGCACATAATTAGTCTCGAAAACAGTCCTCGTAAAAAGTATCAATAGCCTTTCTCAGTAGATCAACATTTGCTCTATGCTTCATCAAGAATTTTCCTTCAAAGTGAAAAACTGGTATGTCATACTTGTAAGCCTTCCACCATTGCTCGTTTCCTGGCTTTGTGATGTCCACTTTTTCCAAGGCAACCTGTCACGGAACATTTAAAAACAGTTGTCATTTAATCTCTTTGGGAATGTGTAGATTTAGGACATTGTATGTTATTGAGCATATCTTTGTCAGCAAATGGAAAGACACACGCACCTGATTCAGCTTTGCAAGAAGACTGATATTTAATTAAAAGAAATCTAGAAACAAGTGTCCAATAATAAGTTGGAGAAAAGTGTTTTTTAGTTTTAGGAGAGGTTTTACGGCCCTCGCAACTGCATTAGGTCATAAGAGCGCCAGGAGATTAGAGGAGTTACAAGAGAGTAACAAACATAAAAAAGGAGGGGAGATAAGGAAGATAAATATATGACAGGAAAGAAGAAGCAATGTGTGAGCCAGAGTATGGTTAGTATTAGTATGAAAAACGAATACACACAACAAACCAAAGGTTCCCGCATAGTCATAACAAAAATAAAAGTCATGAAGACAATCAGAGGCACTGCAAAATTATGTTCAAAGACTTTGGTTTAAAAACAAGGCAGAAACACGGAATGAACTATGCATATATTGTGCTCATCTATAAAGGTCTTCCGGTCAAACAGTTGTTTTCAGAGAATCTAACTTAAAAGAAAGGATAAAGTAAAGATTTCACAGGCACTCAGATGACAGCCATGTAGGTTACTGTAAGAAAACCAAAAAAAGGATTCTAAACAGAATATCCAGAGTAAAAGAACACAAGGATGAACTCTACAAATGGGACAAAAACATGATTTCGAACTAATCACTTGTACTATGTCCACTGACTGATACATTATCATACATTGTAATCTTTTTTAGTTGTAGTGAGAGTTTTACGTCACTTCTATACAAAAAGGTCACATAAGTGTGGAAGAATAGATGTTACAAGAGAGTAGCGTACTCAAAAAAGAAGGAGGAGAAATAAGGACGATACACTGAGCAGGACGGCCCAATTTATGACAAGATACCGGACTTCAAGTGTGATGCGATCGAGAAGAAGAAGAAGGACGATACATCGATAGGTATTTGATAGAAAAGAAGGAGAAAACCACACCAGAGCACCCGCCAACCACCCACACTGTAATATTTGAAGCCAGGGACAAGCAAACTCAATACAGCATACACTATAGCTAAATGATGGTGCATGTGTATGTGCATCAGTTTTCTTTCTCACTAAACATGGGTGTCCAAGGCTTTGTGAGACTGGGAGGTCCCTATGGGAGCTTGCGGCTCATGTCAAGAAGCCTTTTTGGTTTAAATTACCATTTCATGTGCAGGTATGATTCGTTGTCAAGTACAAGTATCTTGATATGTAAGGGGTTTTTCCCATCCCAGATTCGAGGAAAGATGGGATTCAGAATTCAGTCTTTTCAGATAAGGTCAGATCATTGAAGGGGAGACCCTTGCACACATTGCACCATCACAAACAGAAAAAGTTAGGACTGATAGATCTAGAGCTAAGTACAGTTCAATAAGGTCGTTAAAAAAAATATGATGCTGCTGTAAAGCAAGATATTTCTAACTGAGGTAAAAATAAAAGAAATTGCACATTGGCTGAAAACGGCCTAAACTCTAAAAATAAAAAGATCAAGTCATGAAATAAATAAATATAGGAAAACTTTCAACAACACCAACTGCTTTCTAAAACGACATCTGAAATGTAACAGGAAAACTTTGACAAGCAACTTGCAGACACACACCTAGAATATTACAATTTAAATCAACACAATAATCAATATATATAGAATTAAAGGACTCTTGCTTCCTGATTGGAGCACACATGCAAACAAAATCTATTCTCATCAAATTCAAAGCTGTTTTCAGCCAATTTGCAGGTTCTTTTATTTTTACCTCAATTAGAAATATCTTGCATTACAACAGGAAAGTATTTGTGTAAAATGACAATTACTATTAAACAAAGAAAAGAAAGGTACAAAAGAAAAAGATTAGGTCCAGATAAAAACATTACAGGAAACTCAACCCCCAAAAATGTTTTGAGAAATGACCCACTTGATTGAGAAGTGGCTTGAGAACCTCCAGAGCTTCATCACACAGGGGACAAGGGTCTTTAGTGTACAGTGTGAGGACTGGAAGCACAGGTCTGTCTGAATTTGAATCATGTGACATTAGGCGAACAGGCATCTCTGTATTGTTGAACTGACATCTCATGTTGGTAGGAAAAGCCAAACATATAATTTTTTTTAATGATGAAGACGCAGAGTCAGACGTGCTCCGCACTGAATTCACAAATCTTACAGTGATTGCTCCAAACATGATCAGACAAAGTTTCCTTTCACTTCACAGACTTGCAATGTTTCGTAGAACTAGCACCAAGTTCAATACATTTTAGGCACATTCAGAGTGAGTAACAACCTGATAAATTTTTAAAAAGGCACAATGATTTATGGGTGACCTTATTTAGGCCACATATGGCCTAAATAAGCTAAACCCCCCTCCTTTACCTTATTTAGGCCACAGGTGGCCTAAATAAGCTAAACCCCCCTCCCTTACCTTATTTAGGCCACACCTGTGGCCTAAATAAGCTAAACCCCCCTCCCTTACCTTATTTAGGCCACACCTTTATACAAAGTCACAGAAATATTCCTTTTGTGCTTATTGAGGTACAGTGCAGGGTGATTTTACCTGCAAGGATAATTGGACAAAATGGGTAGAATCTTTATTGCTAATGGTCATATTTAGACAAATCCTATATCATTGTCTTTTTTTTTCTTAACTGCTCATGGTTATTAAAGAGTAAGCCAACTAGGTAGTAATTTCGGATTCCTAATACTAATATTATGGGCATTCTTAAAATTTTAAAACTTGTTTTTAGCGCTTTTCTCAACGTAAAACGGATTCCGTAAAAAAACAATGACCATATCTTTCTTTTTCAAAGTATTGTGCATATTATATTTGTGTGAAACTATATATTCTATGCTTTCATGTACATGAAAAAAGCTAATAAAGGCAAGCAAAATGTTCTTCAGAGACACAGATCTAGTAGTAGGCCCACTGAATTTTTTTTATAAACCGGGAAAGATGACCTGAAGATAACAAAATTATTTTATGATCTTCACTTGCACTTGCAACTTTTTGGATAAATTATAGTCTACCTCATTGTCTTTTTTTTCCATCATTTTGCTTCACTATTCATGACAACTGGCATGTATTGTTTTCAGTTATTATCAAGAAAGTGGATAGGCGGACTACGGGGTCTATCTAGCCAAAAGGATAGGTGGACCCCGGGGTCTACCTAACAAAATGCTAGGATTTAGGATGTGAACCCTGGAGTGAGCGTAGTGAAATAAGTAGTAGATCTAGGTTTAACTAAGGATCGGTGGACCCCGGGGTCAACATAGTGAAATAAGTAGATCTCAGTTTATTTTATAGTAGGACTGGCGGAGCCCGTGGTCAATGTAGTGAAATTATAAGTAGATATAGGTTTAATTAAGGATTGGTGGACCCCGGGGTCAATGTAGTGAAATCAGTAGATCTAGGTTTAATTAAGGATTGGTGGACCCTGGGGTCAATGTAGTGAAATAAGTACATGTAGATCTAGGTTTAATTTTAAGGATTGGTGGACCCTGGAGTCAACGTAGTGAAATAGGTAGGTTTAAGGTGGACCCCAGGGTCTACCTAACGAAACGCTAGTTAGGTTTTTAGAATAGGTGGAACCTGCGGGGTCACCGCAGTAAAATAAGTAGGTTTAATCAAGGTGTCCCGGGGGTCCACCAATCCTTAATTAAACCTTATTCCTCTACGGCTATGGTGACTCCGGGGTCCACCAATCCTTTTAAAATTAACCCTACTTATTTCACTACGCTGACCCCGGGGTCCACCAATCTTTAAAGAAACATACTTATTTCACTACGGTGACCCCGGGGTCCACCTGTCCTAAAACCTAGTATTTCGCTAGGTAGACCCCGGGATCCACCTTAAACCTGCTTATTTATCACTACGTTGACCCCGGGGTCCACCAATCCTTACTTAAACCAAACCTTATTTCACTACGGTGACTCCGGGGTTTACATCCTAAAACCTAGTATTTCGCTTTGCAGACCCCGGAGTCCACCTATCCTCTTCAGGACTAAACTATTATCAATTTGCAATTTTCATTGATTAGCATATTTTTTTTAAAATATTGAATCAGAGATTCGCTTTCTAAAAAGTCCACTGCTAATGCTATTCTTTTCAAAGAAAATGGCACAATTTGATTTTATGACATGTTGAAAAAAAAGAGTTTTAAAAATATCCCGAAAACAACATAAAATGATGATATAGATCTCTCTCTCTCTCTCTCTCTCTCTATATATATATATATATATATGTGTGTGTGTGTGTATTTGTGTGTGTGTGTGTGTGTGTGTGGTGTGTGTGTGTGTGTGTGTGTTATTATATGTATACTAAAAGACTGAGCAGAGGCTTACAATGTAAATTCTCTGCTCTACAAGTAGAGAAAATCTTAAGTTTGCGCAAAACAGATTTTAGAAAAAAAGTTGGATCTAATTATTCTAATAAAAGTAAAAGTGATTGTTATGCTGAGATTTGTTATTATTAACTCTGGAAATACAGTTACTTGCTGAATCTAAAAGTAACTAGAACTGTGCAATTCGTTTTATTTCAATTCCAAAGCCCAAAGGCATAGCAATAATAAGTTAGATCTAGATCTAGCAGTTGTAGGCTCTCTGGCTACTTCTAGCATAGGCCTGCTACTACTGATTCTAGACAGGGAATCTAGATCTTGCTATCGCCTGCACTATTTAAGTCAAATATATGGTAAAATAAAAACAAAACTGAATTTTTTGTCAGTCAGTACATCCCAATTGCCATAGCCGCACGTATTAATAGTTGAATAATGCGATACCGAAGCAACACGTTATCACAGTGTGCAGGGGAGAGCGAGGTGCTCGGTCGATTCGGTGGTTCGGCTTTTGTAGATCTATGCATTTTTTACGGAAAGCCCTATTACCTGGCCTATTACTAGATCTATTAGTGTTGTGAAAACTTCAACCTCTACAGCTCAGGCGTCAAAAGATGCTGGAAAATAATAATGCGTCCTGAAGTTTCATAATTTATTTTTATACAGCATAACACAGTACACAGCCAGTAGTTTTTATTTCACCGAGTTATAAAAATGGCCTTCGTATAAAAATTGCCTTGTTTTCAGAAGCAAATTTTAATAGTTCTAGTTCTACCGAATCGATTTTCACGCGAATTCAACCATTTTGATGATCTTTGTTTTCCTTTTAAAAAGATGTAGATCTAGGCCTGTCGGATGTGGCAGTGTGATTAACACTGAGTTGTTTAGATCTAGATCTAGACCCATCAAAACACGAGGCTTCGTGGCCGATCACAAAAGTCTACGGGGCTTATCGAGGCCGATTCGCCCTGCTGCGAGCACGTTCACTAAACTGCCTATAGATAGAATCTACTACCAAATATTCTCTACACGATCTTTGCTACTACTACTACTAGGCCTACTAGCCTACATGTACTACTACGAGACAGTAAGAGAGAGTGTCACTCAGACAAAGATAGTGTAACTTTGACTCAGCCACGTAGTGTACACACTTTTTATACCCCAAATTTAACCCGGAAGTCCATTCGGAGGATTTGACCTTTTCACTTGACCAAAGTGTGCCAAAATGGTAGCCTAGCTTTTGCCCCTCCATGAAGGAAAAATCTGGCCCTCATTCAAACCATTGGGATTGAGCAAAATTTTGCGTATTGTGCTTTGTTCTTTACAATATTCATTATGGTTATGATTTATAAGTTGTACACTGAGGCAAAACCATACTAAATGAGAAAGGTGCACCATTATGAAAGTGGAATGAACTCAGTTGCCTGAAAAGGGTAGTTTGAGCATGTGTGGCCTATATAAGCTAAACCCCCCTCCCTTACCTTATTTAGGCCACAGTCCACTGTGGCCTGAATAAGCTAAACCCCCCTCCCTTACCTTATTTAGGCCACAGTCCACTGTGGCCTAAATAAGCTAAACCCCCCTCCCTTACCTTATTTAGGCCATATGTGGCCTAAATAAGCACTCCCATGATTTATATATATATATGCAAAAATTTCTAGTTCGGTGCTGGTTTACTTGAGGTCTACTACACTACGGAGGTCTACTGTAAGTCCGGCCTGATTGACCACGGTCTTCTGCGATATCATCTAGCATAGCGTTGTAAGTCCCACCTGATTGGCCACGGTAATGAGCAGTGTGCGGTTGGGTGCATGGATTGCTTTATTTTGCAATGTTGTTTAGAATAGATCAAAGAACTTTGCTGTGACAAACATTATGATTGACAAGAAATTAGCGACAGCAACTTTTATGGCACGTCACCACACACACATAAATGGGATGTGACAAAATGACCGGTTATAGTTATAGCCTTCATTATATATAAACATGATCAAGGGGAAAATGTAAACTACAACCATCAAAACAATAACAGTCCTTCTGAGACCAATATTTTTAAGTAAACTGATCCTTGTCACAAATTGTTCGACCAGTCTGGTATAGCTAGTTGACTGTCAACGAAGTTCTAAAAACATTGTGGTACACCTTCAACGAAACTGGCACCTACTTCTACTACGAATAACAGTAGGCCTACGAACGTAGACAATAATTCTTTTGATATATATAGTTGAACCTGCCCTGACGGCCACCTCTACAAACGGCCACTTTCCATTTCCCCCTTGCGTTTTTTTCAATATAATTTAACTGTGTAATACGGGCACCTGTCCAACGCGGCCACCATATTTTAACCCACAACCCCTATCACACTAAGTAATAACCCCTGTCTTAGACGGCCACCTTATAGTGACTCCATTACGTTTTGTCAAAAATTGTGCATTGGCCCCTGGGGTTGTGGGCGAGTCATCATAATCCAATCACCTGTCGTTGTTGTTAGGTAGTCCCTCCAACCGATCATGTTACGTAGGCCCCTCCCACTGTTGACCAATAGCAAATTTTCAGCTGCTGATGAGGTAAGCGTGTGATCCCTCATAACCCATAAGCCCTGCCCAGAACTCATACACAAATCGTAAGTGAGATGAGTGGTCACTGTTTACCCAGTCTGTAACAAAGTAACAATGGACGTCAACATGAACTTGTGACAGAAGCGTCACTCGTTCTTCGAGTGGTGGCGACCCATGTGTTTGTTTTACCATAGCACTCGGTCCTCCTTGTCAGACACATTTCGTTATAGAAATTGCACAAAAGCAGCAACAAAAGAATTTTTAAAAACAGCGAAAACAGCAACAACAATGCGGCCACCTTCGGTTGGGACCTCAGAAAGGAAAGGTTTATTTTCTTCATCTTGATCAGTCCTGCCTAAGACGGCCACCTGTCTTATACGGCCACTTTTCTCCTTGACAATGGGTGGCCGTCTTACACAGGTTCGACTGTATATAGATCTATATATATATTCTGGATGTACCTCTTATTAGAGCATATAAATATGATCCAGGTGTGTCGCAGACCAAGACCTATAAAGGCTAGAATTAAGTTGAGCTGTCATTAATTTCAGAGACTATTAAAAAGCTGACAAGAAAGTCTGATTGTTATTGTTAAGGAATAAAGGTCATCAAGTGTCAACTACAAGTATAGTCTTTCAAATTCTTATTCTCTTCATATTGTTAAGCAGGTGGTTAGAGCTAGGGCACTACTAATAGATATAGATCTAGATCTAGAGGTCCTTCTTTAATTTCCCTCTCTGTCATTTCTGTCTGGTTTGTCTTACTTTTTTCCAGCACTGGCACTACGACCATTATTATTCATTATACATATTGATTGTATTGTGTCTAGCCTATTAGATCAAGTAGAAAAATAAAACTGTTCCTGTACAAATCATACACTACACAGCTTATCTCCGATGACATGGGCAAATGTAAAGGGTTTCACATTCACACAACAAAATTCTTTTCCTTGCGATTGAACTTCAGGGCTGAGGCTACTTTTACTTTCGTTTTTACCCTAACTTGCCAAGTTAATGAATACTTTTTCATTTTAAAGATTTGTATTTCCAAAGTTTAAAAACATTGAAAACCTATACTACAACCTATATTACTTTTACTGTATTAGAAATCACACTTATCAGTTATGTAATCATCTTTCAATATGTATTAGATATGGTACTCTTTGATATGGTTTGAAGTAATCGGTGAGAAAAATCAAAAAAAAAATCATCCAGTTTGAAACTAGACTCTTCAAAATCTGGCATAGTACATGTTATAAACTCCTTGTCGTCTCCCTTTCTCACCAGATTCTATTCGAGCTTCGCAAATTTATTTAATTATCGCTATCATTTAGAATTTACATACGATGTAACACACAAAAAAGTATGTATAATTTATGAGTTTTGTCAAGTTGTATTTCAGATTCCTAATTAATTTTTAGCCTAAAAATTTTTCTGAAATAATTTTCTTTCTTTTTTTGTTTGTTTGTTATTCCCAACAGGGTCTGTCTCATCTTTCCTATCCAGATCCAAATCTAGATCTATCTAGATTTAGATCTAGTTTTATAAGATCTAATACAGGCTGTAAACCGACCTGTAAACCTGGAGTTAAAATTAGATTCCTTATGTTTTCTTCTATTCCCATCAGGCCTACCTGTAGACTTATTATTATCATATGGAGTCCTGTATTTCTTCCTCCCTTTCTCTCTCTCTCTCTCTCTCTCTCTCTCTCTCTCTCTCTCTCTCTATCCCCCCCCTCTCTCTCTCTCCGTCTTTGTCTCTCTGTCTCTCTCTCTCATCCGAAGTTCAACTTGACCATCGTGACCACAAAATTAAAGGACATTTCAAAATGTTATCCACTACTCACTAGTTCATTTTAGTGGTCTACTTTTTTTTCAAAATAGTCCCGATATGAGCAATATTTTGTGCCTGCTAGTAAGATTTTCTAAAATGTATTTATTTATTGATTGATTTTTAAAATTAAAAAAAAAATTTTT